GACGAAGAGGTATAGGATATTTAACAATCTTGCTAGCCGAACTAAAATGTTTTTGTTTTCTCTCAATACATTGAAAATGCAATTTTATTACATCAATAATTTGCTATATCATGGCATCAATTGCCATTTGAAATTTGGTTTTATTTGAAAATATATCCAAATAAATTAGTAAAACTCAAACAGGATACGTTTCAGAGAGTGGTTTTTAATCAATTTTTGAATAAATAAAAATTATTACAAATTAGAAAAATATATATGAACACAACAAAAAATAAAACCATAATTGAAGCGACTTCCTGTGCACGCACAGGAAGTCTTTATTAGTTTCTGTTCTTTATTAAGAAGAGAAACTCTTTTTTTTAATAAAAAAATTTTAGAAGAATTGTAAACAGTACACGCACTTCCGATCTCTTCAGTGGAACTGGGGCATATGGCCCCAGTCTTATGCTATCGTCATAAAAATGGATGATCTACTCGGAGAGACAATAAGTCATGGATGAGGATCATTGGCGCTTATGGGAAGCAACAATTTTCTACTAAAGCTTCCTAAACCGGTTCATAAGAGGGAAAATGTCCTAATGTCGAAAAATCGAACCAAATCCTGGAGTAGTTTTTCTTTTAATGGTCGGCACAAGTTGCATAAGTTGTTGCTATGTACTACTCTATCAAAATAGATAAAATAAGGGGAAAAGCTATAATCGTACGCGGCCTACCATTAAATATCTTACGTTACTTAGTTTAATGTAGTAGGCTGAGTGCTCGAAAAAGTGGTCCAATCCGATTCATTCTCAATGGTGTTCGGTCCAAAATATGTGAGTGCACTAAGTTTCATGAAAATATTTAAAAAATTGCTACCTCTAGGTTGAACGTAAAGAAACATAACGTACGGGCAGACAGACAGATAGAGACCCTTAGCTGGATTTAGAAAGTCATCTTAAATCGATCGGTATAATAAAACGTGGGAATATCTCACGTCCTTCTGGTTGTTACATACGCCCGCATAAACTTTTATTATCGTACCACAAGTGATATAAAGCATGAAAATTTGAAAAAACTTGACATATGACTGACTGCATGCTGCCGACTAGTGGCTTTACATAAGGGTCAAAGCCATGCCGAATCGCATTACCTCGAAACGATACGTTCGTCTTCACCTTAGATTGAGGATGCCGCCTTAGTGTGATTTTGTATCAAACAATGTCTCAAATAAGCTCAAGGCGGATGGACAAAAGCAGTGTGCGGCACGTAGTCGTTTATGCCTTAGTACAGAGCGCATGCGTTATCTGCGTTCCATAGAAAATGTCAAACTAACTTTTCATTATTAATCGTCTTAAGAGGGTTTAAAATGAAAACGATCACGCTTGTCTTACTATTTATGCTCAGATAATCTAACAATGAAGAAAAAATTCTATAAGTCGACGGATTCTCAAAATTCGTTTCAATTTGGCTAAAATATTCTCTCTTATTAGTTAACTTAGTTGTTCTCTTACTTACTTCTCTACTTTTCGATATATTTTTGGCAAATATTTTTCTTCAATTTGCAATTTTCTTTTGTAATCTGTATTAGTCATTAAAAAATTAAAACATATCTTCTTTATTATTATATTTAATCTATCTTTGACTTGCACTTTACACGCTATAAAATCTCACTCTCATACATACATTTTTTTATTGCATGCATAAAATTTTATTTAACCCTTTTTGCCATTCAATATTTTTTATCCTTTTTTTCTTTGTTTCATTTATTTTTTTTTCTTTTTTTCTCAATTATATATACGATTATTATTGCTGTTGCTACAATTGTAGTGTTATGTACATATATATATATAAGCCATTACGATCAACTGTTGCCATGAGCAGACATAGCATAACATACAAATACAATGAAAGCATTTATGATTTTTGTATTCCGTATAGTGAAAACAATTAAATTGCTTGCATTACGCGTCAGATGAAGTCGCATATATTATAATACAGTCGAGAACGATATTGGCTTTGTTCCTTTAACGTGTATTCATTTGTGTTTCCATTTTAGTGCCCCCAGACATTTTAGATTATCCGACCAGCACTGATATGGTAATACGTGAGGGTTCAAATGTTACATTGAAATGTGCTGCGACGGGCTCACCCACACCAACGATAACGTGGCGGCGCGAGGGTGGTGAACCGATACCAATACCAAACGGCACCGAAGGTATGTATAAATGCACATAACACACATAAATGAATGCAGTTAACAGGCAAATACTAGAATAATTTTATAGGATTTTTTACATTCTACTACTCCTACAATCATTTCTATATGGAATTTGTCATGTCGTGACGTCTTGAAGTGAAGATGCGTGGTTAACACTTACTTTTTAGATATTAAATTTTGTATTTAAAAGCTGTATTGCTTGTCTACCTGTCTTTTTCTGTTTGTTTTGTTTTTTTTTAAATTGCTCTTTAAAGTGCACAAGAAAAAATTGTAATTTACTATTAATGTAAAATTTGTTGTCTCTTTTACTCAGTAATGAGTTATAATGGTTCATTTTTAACTATCGCCAAAGTGAATCGGTTAAATATGGGCGCCTATCTGTGCATAGCTTCGAATGGTATACCACCAACGGTCAGCAAACGCGTCATGTTGATTGTGCATTGTAAGTATAGTTCATGCATTCATAAAGTAACTAATTACGTAGGCGTTAGACCGAAACATTCATTCACATTTATATGCAAAGGTAATGTAGACATAAATGGCTAAGCATTGCAAAGCTCAGGTGGTTTTTGTAAAGCGAAAATGATAATAAATATTATAATAATACGAAAGTAACATTTGCTTATTCGTAAAATTCAAATAAAAAAAAAAAAAATATATATTAAACGAAAATAGCATTAATTCCTCCATATTACTTTTTCATTGGTCTTTAATCGGTTTCTAGTTTGATAACGTTAGAATCGACCCAGATGCTCTTACTGAGACAAAATTAACATATCTCCGACCACTGCAGCATGGGTCGAACATGGCATTCTAACTAAATTGCTTACTAGTTAAGGGATTGGGGTGAAGAGGATGAGGTTAAGGAATTGGCGGATATGGATTGATCGTAGCGTAGGATATGGACAGGGATGCCCAAAATTGAAGCTAACTCTCGGTTTGGAAGACATTAAATCATCTGTTAAATAAGAGAAGGGAAGGAGTCCCGGGTTTCCTAAATCGTGGAACCGAGAAGACCTTTTTCAGTAGCATTCGTTCTTAGGTCAAAATTCGTGACCTGCAGAATAGACACAAAAGTACATAGACAGAAATCAGACAGACCGACGGACGGATAAACCTACAAGTCTACATATAAGCGTAGTGCATAAAAGGTGGATCTATCTCAAGTCCGCTTGAATGTTGCATACATTCGCCAAAGGTTAATGTGCTATGTGCAACAAGTCATGTACGGTATAAAAATTAGCAGTAAGGGGACTAAGTGAGTTTTTTCACTTTTCTTCTTTTCTCCAAAAACGCCAACGGTATAATGCCTAATGACGAATTTCAATATATAACATTATTAGTATTAAGTCGGCTCAAAAGTATTCTACCTAAGATCACTAACTTCTTATTGACATTAATTACTCATGGAAGTATTGCGTTCATGTTACTTAACTTATTTTAAGTAAAGAATTAAAAACTAAATAAGCACTTAAGAGTAAACTGCAAACGGAAATACTAGTGAGGCGAGCATGAAGTGAATTAAAAATAAAACACATCTGTGAGCCATTTTACTTACTGATCACAGGGGTATGTGCACAACACGTTTATATGCAAGATCGACAACAGTTTGCATTGTATAGTAATCAACAAGTTTTAAATTGACAAAGAGATCTTAAACAGAATAAATACTAGTAGAGGCTAATTGAAGAGGTTGTGAAAGAACAAAAACAACCAACTAACTATAATAATCATAAGAGAGCTATTTTTCGAGTAATGAATAAAAGTCTTGTTAAAGACGGCGCGTAATGTAATTAACAGTAACTTTAATTTAAATTGTTTAAATATTATGAAAACACATTCATTATTAAAGAAACTCTTCGCCAAAAAGCGAAATCCTATCTACATACGAATATATGTAAATATTGTTGAAGTGGTAGTGAGCGGGGGAGTGGGGAAGCACGAGTTTGTTAACCGAAGCCGCATACACATCTTATGCATTCCTGTTGGGAGCCACAACATATAGTTTCCGTTGTACAAAAGCTTAGTACTTCAGCCCTATGAACAATTTTTTTTTTTGTAATACGAAAAGGTAAATAATATGTAGGAAATGTTTTCGGGAGCCGCAGTTTAACATGTAAACCGTAGACAGCGGCAAAGTTTAAAATATATTACTTATGTTGTATAGCGTATGCTAAAGGAAGTATAAAGCGGATACTTGAATATAACTTTCATCTTTCACCTTTTATAATGTGTTTTCAATTTAAATTATCGTTAGGAATAATCATATTTCGAAACCGGAAATTATTAGAAATTTTCAAAAAAGAAAAAAAAAAAAAAACAATTATTATAAAGTAAAATTTCACTAATAATTTTTAGTTTCGAAACTAAAAAAACACATCCTGGCCTCTGTAAATTATTTATGTCAACTTTCTTTTGCTTTTAACTCGTCCGCATGTTGTAATCCATTCATTGAACACGTGCTAATCTTTTTTGCTTTTTTCTTCTCCAAATCGCTTATACGCTGTGTATATAGTTCCCCCAATGATTTGGATACAAAATCAATTAGTTGGAGCAGCAATTGGGCAAAATATTACATTAGAATGTCAATCGGAAGCGTTTCCTAAATCGATAAACTATTGGATGAAAAATGACACAATTATAGTACCTGGTGAGTATGTAAGAAAACATTGTGACATTTACATACATGGATATGCCTCTCATCATCACATCTATTCATAAATATTTAAGCTTAAGAAATAAAAATAATTGAGAAAAAGTTTAGTAAGCGTATTAAATATCCACTGCTTGAAAATAAACTTTTTCTTAACTGTGGCAAAGATGTTTTAATAAAAATCCCCTGCAAATAATAAGCCGGCATTTACGCCGGTTGTTCGACGTACATTCAGGTTTAGCAAGAAAAAATTTATCTACAGATCCGTAAAGCATTTTATCTGCCGAAGAGAAAGTAAAAAACTCATCTCATCCATGTATAGCATCGGTGTCCATCAGTTATTCCAACAAATTGAAGATGCCGAAAGAAACACAAACATGTAAACATTTGATTCAGTGGATTCCACGGCTTGTTATCTATTCTACGCTTTCACTATATCCCCATTTTAATTATACAAAAAATATATTACATTCCGCCGCCAACGAGTCTTTTCCCGCTTAATACCGATCAATATCGTCTAAGCTTTATTATGGTCTTTGAAGCTCCTTTTTAAGTGCTGCAGCGGTTCAACATTCTATAATATTGAGTAGGCGTGGTGATTTCTTACATTTTTGCACAGATGCTGCAGGACCGTTCACATATATACGCATAGAAATATGCATATAATAAATAGCATAAATGTAAATTTTTATCATTGTATTCGTTGTTGTTCTTTTGTAACCAGAAAAAACCATAGTTTATTTTTGAAAAGCGGGATGATCTCGGTTTATGTTGTACTGTAGTCGGGTCAAAATGGTCAAAATTTAAATACTGACCTGCTTGCAAGAACTTGCAACGTTTTGTAGCAAATTCGTAGCCGTTTTCTGCATTTTTGCGCTAAGAAGAATTTTTATCGCAGACATCACACGGACAGACGGAAAGATTTGTAATTTGATGCTGATCAGGAATACATACACTTTATGGGATCTCCGACACTTCCTTCCGGGTATTGTAAACGTTTTGAGAAAATAAGCCGGCGATGGGTATAAAAAGAGCAACTCTCTCCCATAGTTCCGCACAATGTACATGTAGGTAAAATTTCACAGGAACCCAAAAAAATAAAACAAAGTAATGTATAGAAGAACTCTTATGTATATGGCTAATGCATCAGAGCAATCACATCCATTAATATTCATCCGTCGTTAATGCACTTGATCGAGGTTTTATCATATCATTCATATCGCATACATTTCAAATCATGGATGATTTGCTTCTCTTCGTAGGTTAGTGAGTAGTGGTAGAAAGCTTACGCTATAACAAATTTGTTTAAATACCTCAAAAATTGCTTTCTATAGATTAAATGCGATAATATGCGAAGACAGACGGGCAGCAAAGATTAAATAGATTCGGGAAACAATTCTGAATCGGTCAAACCCTTGCAAGTATTACATGCAATATGTCAGCAAATATTTAATATACCTCCTGCATCAAATGATGCATAAAAAGGAAAGAGAAAGGAATAATTTGTCATTTATTTATTTTTTTTTTTTTTATGAATGCGAGGGAGATCTTGGATAGTTTTCGTTGATTTCCAAAATCGAGAAGCAACTTGGCAGCAAACATATAATTGCGATAACAGCAATTTGAAAAGAGGAAAAGACAAGCAGACATAGCTAAGCCGTTCTGCTATTAGCACTAATTAAAAATGCTTGTGGAGTCTGTGACACGTGTTGCTATGCATTGCAAACTTCTATCAAACCTAATGTATATTAACTTTGATGGGTGTAATAAAACGATGCATATAAGAAATTAATGCAAACTCTGGATATATTCGCAACTAGTGGACGACATTATCGTCTTGTTGCTGTCAGCTGTACTGACGATGATTGGAATGTCGAATGTTATTGAGTTTTTCTTCCACACCAAACAATTCGTTACTTGATCTTAAAGCATTTTTTTCCTCTCTTTTCTTCATCAGTTTTCAACCAAGTGCACTTTTTGTATGTAGGTTACGCAAAACTGTTTTTGCAATAATGATAGCTTTTTTGTTTTAACAATTTTTGCATTTTATTTACACATATGGTGCAGTTTTTCCATTTTTTATTTTCTTGTTTTCATCTTTCATTTCGCCGTAAGTAATTTACATCTTTTTGTACTCATCATCGAGAGACGAAGGGTTTATGCGTTTTGTTAAAATCTTTGCAGCAGAAGAAAACTTCAAAGACCCCATAGAGTATATATATATGTTTGATCAGCAGCAAATTATGGATCAATTCAAACATGTCCGTCTGTTTATCTATGTAATGTCTGTTGTAAATACTCTACCCGTTACAAAAATGAAGCTGTTGGGCAGAAACCTTTGAAATTCCTGCAGGCAAATTGGTTTTGGAAATAGGACAACCCTGTCGAAGGAGCCGTACTACGTAAATGGCGAACATACCCGCTTTTTAAAATGAAAAAAAATAGTTTCTTGCTCATTGCTCAGAGAGTACAGCAGCCATACCCACAAACAATTTGAACGTCTTTTCTATCGGCGATCTTAGGAACTGTACAAAAATGGAAGAAATTGGCCACACCTACCCTGCAAAACTTTTGTAACGCGTGGAAGCAAGCTTCTAAAATCCTGTATATATCCTGTATACATGCATTCTTGACAAGTGTCACATTCGGAATACTCTTAAGCGCGTCCGTCTACTCGTCCGTCCCTCTGTCTTTCTGCCCAATCAGATACTATCTGTGGCAAAAATGAAGATGTCGCTTACAAATTTGCAAAAGAAATTGCGAACTGGTCGAAAGATAGGACTACAATGCAATAAAAGCTGCGAACGGCGTTGTTTTCTTTGTCTTTTGCTCATCACTTGTAAGCTGAAACTGATACATCTGATCTCCATTTATATTTTATAAAAGATTCGCTCACAACTGAATATAATATTTTTTGTTTTTTTTTTGCTTTATTCACCTCCTCTCATGTTAACCATTATGTTTTCTTCGTTTTTTATCGACTCTTGTATATCGACTCTTAAAATGGTTGCAATCAGTAAATAAAACTCGCAATGGTAAAAATAAAAATTTTATCAACAATTAATACTTAAACTGTTAAGGAATGCTTTTACTTCTTTTAATACTCAAAATGTTCTTTATGCCCACCATCGTAGGCTGGTGATATATTTAATTTCTCAAAGCATTTGCAACGCCCAGAAGCCTAAGCAGGTCCGTCTGTCAATTGTATAATATCTTCGATGTATATCCTCTTGGTGGCGAAAATGAATATATCGGCTTCGAACTCAGCAAAAGCATTGCAAGTTATTGCACGCAGGTTGACATTGAAAATGGTCCAAATCCTTCAAAGAAAACGTCCACAATACAATAATAAGTGAGAATACTTTTATTTTCAGAAAGAAAAATTTTAGTGCATTCTACTCTTTACCCGCAAGAACATTTGCATACATTTATTTAACGTAATGTGGGTATAAAAGATGCATGCAGCCATGTGCTGGCGAATATAATTTTCTTACTTCTTTCTCTTTTGACTTTTGATTATTCGCCTTCTCTTTAAAAATGTTATCTGCCATAAGTTGCGAAGCATTTTTTATAGAATTTATTAGCACACGTACACAAAGCATTTTAGGTAATTTTCCAAAGCTGTTGTGATCCGCTTTGGGCTTTTACACCAAGAGTCAAAGTTTATTTCACACTCTACTGCTAGAAATTGGAGCAATTTAGAAGAAAAGTATGATGTAAAATAAATAATATATTAAAAAAAAAAAACCCAATACAACATAAACAAAAAACCACTAGGCCAGGGCTCAAGACCAGATCATTTAATACAGTTATTTATATATCTACTTTTCAAAATAAGGCTTCTTTGGGCCAAAACACATCGGTGCACCTAACTTGATGAAATTATTTTAAAAATTGCAGTCCATAGCTTGAATACAAGAATACTAGGACAGTTGTCCAACGGACGAAAAGACAGACAGATCTACTCAGAAAGGGATTCTGAATAAATCGTTATAATAAAAGATGCGTCTATCTCAAGTTCTTCTCAGCGTGTCTATACACGCCAAAGAACTTAACATACCAGGTATAAAATATTTATTAAGGGTTTATGTTTTTTACTTTAAAAAATGTTTTCATCTTAAACACAGGAACGCCGGACTGACAGGCATGGGTAGATCAATTAAGACAGTCATTTTGAACCGATCGTTAACTCTGAAGTCCTTCTGGTTGTTCTATACATTTATCTTCATATATTCCTGCAAGACAAGTGGCTTACGGTATTATGGCAAGAAGAAATGCCGACACTGACACACTGCAAATATCTTGATCAATTTGTTGAAAATTGTGATAGCTTACCTGGAAGCTCTCGAAGGCTCTCTTTCACATTAGCAGAGCTGGCCATTGCCAGATTGCTGTTACTTTTAGGTGCTTGCGGAATATTAAATTAGTTCCAAGAAGCAAAACGGCGTAAGGGCATTGCTGGCAAAATGGCAGCACTTTCTCTTTTCCAATAATACATACATACATACATATTAATTTTACCGTTTAGGTAATCGATTATTTTATAAAGTTCTTCGTATTTTTTTTTTTTTTTTTTGAGAATTAGTACTGTGCATTTTTAATTAAACTTTTAATACGAGAAACGTGGAAATAAGTGTAGCTTTGTACAATTCCATGCCAGAAGCTCTTGTATGCAATGAATTTTAGAAATAAATGAAAGCAAAAGAAACAATTGCTTGTTATGCGTATTTGATTTTTAAAGGTGTACGTGCAATAAATACATAATTCTTATAATATTTTACCTTAATATCTTTGAAAAGAAATTTATGATTTAATCAATGTTCAAATATCAATACTTTACAGAAATAAAGACAAAGATACACATTGTGTTAACTTTGTTTTATGTAACTCTTTAAAATTAGGTTGGCAAGAAAGTATTTTATATTATTTCAGGTTGCAAGAGTTGGTTTAAAGAGTTTTCGTTAAGATTCTCATTAATTTTTTATAATCGTATAATG